CCAGTGCTTACAGGGTTAAGTTGAGCTCATTACTGAGTTGACTATTGAACCCGGTTGCAGAAGTATGTTGGGAATAACTTGGGTACATTTTGTTGGTATTTATATGTAGATAGTTGATGTGTTGTGTATACTATATTTGAGTTGTTGAGTGGCCCGGAGGCTTAAGACACCCGCTTCTCATGCATAGTACGCGGTTTCGAAACCTACCAACGGCAAGTACCAATGTGGCTTTATTTGAGTTATATGTACTTTCTAAGATTATCTAGACACCATTGACAAACGGTGAAACATCGTGAGGATACCTGGATCTATAATTTGTAATTATAAGTTTGGAATCGCCTACCCGCATTGAGCAAGAGTGGTGATTAATGCTCAAACCATCTCCGTGCGAGAAGAGGCCTTTGGTCAGCAGTGACTTATAGGCTGTTCATGTGAAATCATGTGTCATGTGTGGGTTTTGTGATTTGTTTTTTTTTTTTCAATTTAAACTGTCAAACACCAGGCGGTCACCGGTAATTGTGTCTATAATGACGGTACTCGACGAGTTAATGTGTCAGTACTTGTGTATGTTTGTATGTAGATTGCTTACCTTAGTGCTAGATGGCATAGGGAGAAAAGGAGGTAACATGAGGTCACAATTAAGTTAGTGAAAAGTTTTATTTTTCAAATAGTAAATTGTCAGGTTCGGCTATTTTATAAGGTTGAAAATCCGAGTCATTTTCATCTTATAATGACGAATGATTTCGTTACAGAATTCCCAATTTGTCTATAAAATCTATATCACTAGACTTATCTTCATGCAACTCGTCCATTTTTTACTCTTAATACATCATCACCATTTCAATTTCTACTTAATACATATACAAATATGACTATCACACCTTTTACATCTCTTACATCAACTTAAACAACAAGTTATCATTGTTTAAGGGTGTTATCAAAAAGGTAATCTTGGAAATACATTGATATTTCCCTTTTTCTCCTAAATATGTCCGTTTTAAGCCCAAATGAAGATGTAGAACGGTGTGTGACCACAGATTTGCCTTATCTGGAGACGTTTGAATTTTATTAGGACCACCAATAGCAGTAAAACGCAGGTATTAAGGATTTCAAGGTCATATCAAAGGAATAGGAAAAATTCAAATGTCTTTAAGGTTATGTATGCCATAAAATAAATTGTAATTTTATTTTATGGCATACATAAGCCGGTAAACGAGAAAACGGATCACCTGATGGTAAGCAATCGGCGTCGCCCATGTATACCGGGAACACCAGAGGCGTTACAAGTGCGTCATCGGCTTTTTGGGGATTAGGAGTTTGAGGATCGTTGGGGATTCAGGGATTGGGGAGATTGGGGAAGGGGAAGGTAATTGGGCCTCCGGTAACCTCACTCACACGACGTAAGCGTTGCTTCACGTCGGTTTTCTGTGAGGCCGTGGTATCACTCCGATTGAGCCAGCCCATTCGTGCCGAAGCATGGCTCTCCCACACTTAAACTTGTAAAGTTAAAATTGAAATGATTGCAACAACTGACGACAGTACTTAATGGACTAAATTATTATGTCAATGGAATAAATAATAATCAACATCAACGGCCTACATACTGACCACTGCTTACCAAAGGCCTCTTCTCGCACAGAGAAGGTTTGAGCCTTAATCGCCACGCTTGCTCAATACAGGTTGGCAAATAATAATAATTTTGTTAATTTTCACACAGTCATTCTGTCTCGTAACCAGTAATTGGTCCAACTTCTAAATTAAGCAACAAGGTCGTGTTCTTCGTTTTTAAAATTTAAACCGAGTGAAAATTGATAAATTGATTGTTCCCGGTGTAGGCATAAAATTACTCCCCTGGGGTCAATAAAGAATCTGACGAAAGTGATTTTACCACCTGAAAACACCAATTTATTAAACGGAAACAAAATTGCACTTTAAAATTCTTAAGTAGCAGCTAAATATTAAAATCACGATACGAAAATCAGTTTTATTCAATTTCAAAAATAAGAAAACCGTACGTAATAAGAAAACCTCAAAATTTAATTCAAGCAAGCGGTTTTGAAAAGAAAAATATTGCAAGAACGAGGATTGAACCGCATTTATTGCAGCCCATGAATGATGCATGCCGCACACAAGACGAATCAGATATTTGATTAATATAAATATTTATTCATTGTATATTTTACGATATCATTTCTGTAGACTTTGCATTGAAATGTGATTTTTGAATGTGATATTATTGAATATTTGAATTATGCTGCGTCAAATAGTTTTGGAATAGATGTTAGTCTGATATAGTATTAGATATGAATATTATTTATTTATTTTTATTTTTATTTTATTTACACTTTTTGTAGATATACAACGGCGGACTTAATGCCTAGTGGCATTCTCTAACAGTCAACCTTAGGGTGGTGCAGAGAGATACAATAGTAGGTGTAAACGTTTAACACTTATTAGAGTGACACAATAATTAACATTAACATTAACATCATATATAATTATACATATCACACAATATATACTAATTAAATATAATGAAGAAGTATTAAAATATATACGTAATGCAAAACGAACAGTAGACAAATAAGTATGGGACATATATATACCTAAATATACGAAGGAAAATACATAACATAACATATATACATACATAATTATACACATACATATATGTAAATACGTACAAGACCTAAGTGTGTGTTGAGTCTGCTAGCCTCTTCTGTAGATACTCACGAACCTTAAATTTGAAGGACAGACGACTGGTCGCCGTCCTGATATCCGTCGGCATCGCATTCCACAGCAAGATGGATTGGACGAAAAAAGAAGAGTGAAGGAAGTCAGTTCGATGTGTGGGACATTGTAACAGAAGATTATTAGAAGAACGGAGGTATTTGCTATGGTTAGCGCTCACATACTGGAAATATGAGGAAAGATAAGTAGGAGAATTGGGAGAATTAAGAAGGGAGAATAAAGTGGTTAGCGCCCGTTGTTCCCTGCGCTGACGTATGGGCAACCACTTTAGTTGCAATCGAAATGCAGAGACATGGTCGTACTTACGCAGGTTGAAGACGAATCGAATGCAGGTATTCAAAAGGCGGTCAAGTTTGTTAAGTAGATCTGCATTCAGGTCGAAAAAACACACATCAGCATAATCAATAATGGGGAAAACCAAGGACTGGACAAGCATTATCTTAGCAGAGGACGGAAGAAAGTTTCTCAAACGATACAGGGCCCGCAGCGTCCCGGTGACCCGTTGGCATATGCTAGTGACATGAGCACGCCAGTTTAAGTTACTGTCAACATACAAGCCAAGATTCTTCACGTCGCCGCTGAAAGGTATGATCGCACCGTTGAACAGTACAGGCGGCATAGTTGCACTGTCAACCTTACACAAGGTACGAGAACTTCCCACCATAATCGCCTGACATTTATTCGGGTTCACAGCTATTCCAAACCTCTCAGACCAATTATATATAGCAGCTAAGTCAGCGTTCACTCTCGCGATTGCCCCAGGCAAATCCTCGATCTTAGCCCGACAGTACACCTGTAGGTCGTCGGCATACAGATGGTACGCACACTGAAGTTCAGAAGTAATAAGGTTTATGAAAATAGAGAATAAAAGAGGAGAGAGAATACCGCCTTGAGGAACGCCAGTCTGCAAGTGGTTCCAGTTTGATGAGGTCTCATCAACGTGAACTGATTGCTGACGCTCCTGAAGATAAGAAGAAAACCATTCCAGTGCGTCATCAGAGACCGAAAAATGGGAAAGGATAGCTAGTAGGATATCATGGTCGACCATGTTGAAGGCATTTGAGAAGTCCACCAAAACCAATACTGTGATCTCAGTGTCCTCCATTCCCGCCTTCACATCGCCAATGACCTTGAGGAGTGCAGTTACAGTACTGTGCCCAGGCCTGAATCCAGACTGTAGAGGACTAATAAGACAGTTACGGTAAATGAAATTCGAAAGTTGATTATGGACACAGGCCTCAAGCACCTTCGACAAAAAGGGTAGGATGGATATAGGACGAAAATGTGTAGGAAGACTAGGATTAGATATTTTTGGAATGGGACGGACATAGGCTTTGCGCCACAAGGATGGGAATATTTTAGAGTACAAGGAACGGTTTACCATATGAGTTATGATCGGGAGGAGGAGGTCCAGTATACCTGTAATCATATCACGCGATATACCGTCACATCCCACAGCCCTGGATTTGATGGCAAGGATAATCTTCCGGATATCTTCCAATTGCACTGGTGTGAAGCAAAAAGGACTTATTGCACAGGAACGCATCATACCGGAGATAAAAGAAAGGGTTATTCGCTTGGTCTGGAGATCCAATTTAGGTACGGTGGAGAAATGGTGATTGAGATCATTCAGACCAATCGAACCAGGAATGTCCGTGTGTCGGGATTTACCAATACCCAGAGTTCCAAGGAACTTCCAGATATCGGCAGAAGAAGAAGAGGAGATACTGTTAAGAATATGACGGCGTTTAGCATTGCGCACCATCTGATTACACCGATTCCTAGCAATTTTGAAGGCCGTCCAATTCTCCTCGGTGCGATCCCTCTTGTGTTTACGAAACGCTCGGTCCCTGCGTCGCATCGCCATCCGTATCCCATCATTCATCCAAGGCGCAGGAGCACGCTTCAATTTTACCTTTTTGATTGGGGCGTGACGATCATAGAGGTTAGTTAAGGTCGTGTTGAATATGTCTACCATAGTGTTGACATCAGTTGCCTCCATCAGGGGTTCCCAATCTATGGCTGACGCATCCTCTCGGAGTTTATCGACGTCCATCTGCGCAAAACAACGCCTATACAGGACCCTAGGCTTTACCTTGGGTGGTTTCAGGAAATAGGATAGGAAGATCAGGTCATGGTGGGAGAATCCCGGGGCCTCCTGCTGACCGTGAGATGCAACTAGAGCGGGATTGGATGTGATGATCAGATCGAGCCAGGAGTCCTCACCAACAATGTTGTGATGAGTAGGTTGGAGAGGCAGCAGATGAAGACTCCCAGACTCGACCAGACACCGGAGTTTACGGGAACGAGAGGAGTTATGGGCAAGGAGATTAGTGTTGAAGTCACCCATGATTATGTGATGAGCGTAATCCGAACCCACAGATTCCAGTACCGATTCGAATTCGGCGAAATAATCGACCAAAGGAGGACAATAGACAACGCCCAGAACAATCTTTACCCCCCGGACACAAACCTCAAGAAATATATATTCCGCAGCACATCCAGAGTTTGATGTGAAGAGAGTTTTATAACAAAATTCGCTGCGCAGATATATGGCCACACCACCCCCTCGTCCCTCAGTGCGGTCATTGCGAACTAGAACATATCCAGTTAAGGGGTAGTTTGTTGATGGTAATTGAGGCTTGAGCCAGGTTTCGGATATCAAGACGGCATGCACATCACTGTTGTTAAATGCCTCATAGAGGTCATTGTAGTGACTGGGCACACTCTGGGCATTTATGTGGCATACGTTCAATAAGCGACGATCTTGGTTACTAAATTGTTTCTTGAGAGTGTCACCCAGAGTGCCCCCCAACGAACAGTAACCGTCACCCTCAGAAAAACTACTTTCACTCGCAGATACAAAAGAATCAGCATCAGACATGTATATGTATATATAAATATAGAAAAATATAGATAATAATAGATATTAATAAATAAACGTAGCTAAATAACACAAAATATATCAAACGTTAAGAAGGTGTTTACCACTGAAAGCATGCAACTCTGCACCACCCGCCAGCTAACATCAACAAAACAAAAGAAGAAAACAAAAAGATGAAAAACAAAGACAACAACAACACAATTAATTACAGTTCTATGATCACATTTCCGAACGTGCAAACTTCAACGAATGACAGCTTGAGAACTGATAGATGACAATGTCATCTGTCATTATGACATTATATAATTCCGCTTGACGACAATGCAATGCAAACAATTTATTAACATGAGGGTGAAAAGAAATTTAAAAACATTAAGTTAAACATATGGAATTTATGGAAGATACTGGAAATTTTTATAATTAGTAACGTCATTGATAACAGATTGGAACAAAGAAAGTGAAATAATCGTATTAGCAGTGGGTAGAGGTATCAAAAGTTCTCAAGTCTTGTGAAATTATACAACATGCAAACAAAGAACTAATGAGGTATTATAAGCAATGGAAATGAAAGAAAAATACAATCAAAACTACAAGGTAAGGGGAACAAGCGACAACAATAAGAAACAAGAATGGTGTACAGTGATTGTGGTGATAATTGGATGCAATGATATGATTATTTACGTGCAACTTTCAGGCTCGCCACGTTCGCTTCCCCACGCCCGGCTGCAGGCTCCGGCACTCCTGCCACCTTCGGGTATTTGCTGAGGAGAGGACTTAGATCCCCAGAGCATTTTACCTTATGCTTAGCGCCGTCTGCTGTCTTCAGGAAGATATTGCCATCCTGCGTCCAACAAGCACGTATGCCGAAGTGATGGCGCGCCCTGACAAACAACTCCTGTCTGGATCGTGTTAAAAACTCACGCACAGAAGTTTTAGAGCCCCGAAGACCAGTTTTAGCTCGCCAGACCAAAGCCTTATTTTCGATGGTTGTGAACCGCACCAGGATTGGTCTAGGAAGATCTTTAGTGCCTGCTCCCAGTCGACGGCTTGTCTTGATTGCAGACGATGGAAGATTGAGTTGTAGCCTGGTGTTTATAATTTCCAGTACTACCTTGCTGCAGTCCTCCTCCTTAACTTCGGGTATACCCAGAAACACTAAATCTTTACGTCGGTGCCGTGTCTCCTGGTCATCAGAACACTTGCAGCACTCTGAGATTTGTCTCCGAAGCGTGCCCAAAATGTTATAGACCAGTACCCGGAAGACTCGAAACTCCTCCGCTATCTTGGCCACTGTGTCCTTACCAGGGCCGGCTGCCTCAATTTGATCATTGATCTCATCCATCCTCGCCAATAACCTCTCCTCCATGGACAGATTGGTGGTTATAAGATCAGCGTGCGACATTGTGGGTGTGAAGTGCCTGGTTGCCTTAGTGAATAGATGTGCTGGCAGGTGGTGGCTAAGTTGAACTATTATGTCACATAGACGTTGTAACTATTAATATTTTTGTATAATTTTTACTATTTAACCTAATACTGGATAATGCACTTTAAAACTAATTTAATCAATTTATGCAATTTATTTTCGCAATAAACAAATTACGCGTGTGTACTTATTTAGCACCTACCGACGAATCATCATATTGTTAGCTATATATACATTTCATGTTAGCTTTATTATAGGTCCAAAGCGTTATTATTATATAGGTTCATAGAACATAAAATAACATAACATCACGCCTTTTATACCCCATGAGGTAGGCAGACGTGCACATTACGGCACTTAGTGCTACTGTACAATGTAACACCCACTTTTCACTATTTGTGTTATGAGTCCCATGTAACAGGGAGTGAGCCATTGCCAATTGCCATATACCGGGAACAATTGCAATATCCGTGTTACTAATTTTTAAAAACCCCAGTAAACCTTTGCCCGCTCGGAGAATTGCACCCAAAACCCCTTGCTCGGCTGTCACACTTGCCACCATTCGGCCAACGAGGTAGTCTTAAAACATAATAATAATAATTAAGCCTTTTATTTCAGAATAAACAACATGTGAACTTAAAGTTAAATAATTTATAGTTATATGCTCTGAATTTACAAAATGTCCCTTATTTCGGTGTGCCTTACGGCAAAGGCCTCTTCCAACTCTGTTGAATTGTATGTGACCGCAAATGTAACCAGTTGCGTTGTATTTCGCTGTGTGCGTGAAGAATCTGAAGCCACCAAGGCCGACAAGGTACGTGCAGCACCACTGGTGTTGCAGGGGTCCAAAGACATCAAGCTATTATCTGGCTTATTAAGAGGTTAATAAACTTACTATGTAATTGTATGTCAGATTAAAGTGTTTGCATATGATACAAATTTGATAATAATGAAACAAAACGTTCCCTTAAGGTTTATAAATAACGCGACGCGATATGTTCTTTAGAGCAGTAATTACTTGCGTAATGAGCGATCCCTTGTGTCCGTATGCAAGGTACAGAAACATTGATATAAGCTCAACCTAATTAGCTTGGGCTATAATTTATATAGATTAGGTACCCTGTGGGTATTATTATGAGGTTGTTAGATATTGTTAATATTTTCTGTGCATTGTGACTTATTGTCGAGTTATAGAGTTTATCTTGAATTCGTTGTTGCTATCAAAAAGAGAATTTATTGTTAGGTTCATTACTTTTGAAACCTGAAAAATCTCAGTAAATATTCAGGCACTGTCCCTTCTTAGAGTCAATTATTCTTATTCTAACAAACAATGGTGAGATGGTGTTCAAACGTCGACCAATTAAGTATAAACAAAAATTAGGTTAATTCGATAGACCAATGTATTTAGTGATCAGGTATTTTATTTTATTTTTATTTTAAGGCTTCCTGCGCATTCTACATGTATGTGTGTTTACTGCCATGGGCATTCTATGGTTAGTGTTGTGTTTCGTTGCTACCAGAATCAATTATGTGTTGAATCGGTTCAAAAAGTTTCTCTCACGAAGGGTTTAAACTTATTATTTTATTTGAAAAAGATACCCTTTTGGATATATTCCTCATTGCACAGAAAATGTCCAATTAATATAAACAAGTGTGGGAGAGCCATGCTTCAGCACGAATGGGCCGGCTCGACCGGAGTCATACCACGGCCTCACAGAAAACCGACGTGAAGCAACGCTTGCGTTGTGTTTCGTCGTATGAGTGAGGTTACCGGAGGCCCAATTACCCTCCCCTTCCCCAATCTCCCCAATTCCTGAATTCCCAACGATCCTCAAACTCCTAATCCCCAAAAAGCCGGTGACGCACTTGTGTTCCAGGTATCCATGGGCGACGCCGATTGATTACCATCAGGTGATCCGTCTGCTCGTTTACCGGCTTAAGCCATAAAAAAAAACAAAACTACCTTAATTTGAGTTACAGTTTCAGTAACTTATTCTTTAGTATCATGACACAAAACACAGAGTGGAATGTTTGCGTTGAAAATTACCTAATTCGGAGTTGACTGAGTGAAACTATTGTGCGGTAGGTAATGTTCTCTATTTACTGAGTACAGTCAACGACACACGTTGGTTGGTACTTATTGTATTAATTTATTATGTAAGTATTTACAGTGGGACTGTAGAATGGAATAGCGGCTTTGTTTCTACGGGGTTTTATTGTTGTGGTTGATTGTTTAAGAGAAATTTTAGTTACTTGCACAGTACATAAGTCGAAAACATAATAATTAATTTAGAATGTCTCAGGAAAGTTATATAATATGAAAAATATACATAACATCACGCCTTTTTTTCCCCCGAAGGGGTAGGCAGAGGTGTACATTATGCCACTGTATAATGTAACACCCACTTTTCACTATTTATGTTATGAGTCCCATGTAATAGGGGTGAGCCTATTGCCATATACCGGGCACAATTCCAGACTCCGTGCTCCGTTTTTGTGTTTTGTAGTTTAAAAAAATTAGTAGGTACTTATTTCTCCCCTTGAGTATGTTATTAGACTTTACAAAAAATCACAGGACTAATATTTAAAATATAGATTTCATAGTCCTTTCACCATTTTTTGAAACACATTATTTTAAACGCCACATGGAATTCAATAAAAAGCTAAATTGTAATATGAGTGCGAGACAAGAGTTTCGAGAACAAAGTCATGCATAGGTAATGTAACGCCTTGCACCGAGAGACAACCGCCCACACTGTTGTGCACAATGCAATATGGTTGACAGCATGTATGATTTTATATGTCTTGTCGCCAAGTCTTCTTGTCCATTATGAAGAAAGAAACTGCGTCAGTTTGTCTACAAATGAAAAGTATCATCATCATTATAACATCACACCTTTTATCCTCGAAGGGGTAGGCAGAGGTGCACATTATGCCACTGTACAATGTAACACTCACTTTTCACTATTTATTTTATTTATGAGTCCCATGTAATAGGGGGTGAGCCTATTGTCATATATCGGGCACAATTCCAGACTCCGTGCTACTACTGAGATTTTTTTTAAAACCCAGTAGTATTTTGCCCGACCCGGGAATCGAACTCAATCGAAATGAAAAATATATTTTTATAATTTTTCACGAAAAGCTTTTAACCAAAGACCATCAACGTTTAATGCATTTTCAGAACCTTGGCAGTTACGATTACGATTATTATATTATTATAAATATAAGTTTATAAAATTTAATCGTCATTTTATGAATATACATACTTACATATACGTGCCTGCCCCTCATGGGAGTAGGCAGAGACTATCCAATGCCAATTGCTACTATTCTTATATACCTCTTTCTTTCAACAGTCATCAGTGTTTTTATACATGCGTGTCGGTTAAGGGTAATTTTAATTTGGCTCTTCTTAAATATTGCCAATCTGGTCGATATATATATGCCTAAGGCGTCCTCTGCCAACGATCCCATTCATATAGTATCGTATTTTAGTAAATATTTTGCTATTTTGTATATGAAAAATGTAACGTCATATTTTTTTTATCACCGTATGGCTCAACACAAAATCATGTTGAAAGCAAAATATATTCTGTTGTGCACGATAGTGTTAGAGTTTAAATTGTCAACGTGTTCGGCCTAACATTATGGGTATGAATATCATGTAACATTATTTACAACCCATTTTGCTGTGCTGACAGGTAAATTGGTCGTTATAAATTAAACTTTAAAATAGTGATTATTGCCACTATTTTTAATTACACAACTTGAGCTCTTGTTGGTTGATAGGTCGCAAGACTGACTAAGAAGCAAGAGGTCGCAGGTTCGCATATGCTAAGAACTCCTGAAATAAAATAAATATAAATGTTAGGTACATTGAACACGTGCACATTGCACTTCTACCTACCCCTTCGAAGATTAAAAGGAAAAAATGATGCCTATATTATATTTTGTAAAATTGACTTGAGGATTTTTAATAAACGTACAATGTATATAAATAATAGTGATAGTTGTCGACGCGTCGCTACGTTTGTTCGTAGTAAAGTGCTACGGGCGTAGCGCTACGGCTACGGTTGGCTACCTCCGTAGCCGGAGGGCACGAAATATTGTGTAGATTCCAACACGTTGGGTGCTATAACATGGATGAGTGACGGTTCATGTATGAATTTCCTGAACTAAAGGCTTTATTTTGTGCAAATATTGATACAAATGGTCAGTTTTTGCTTTTTTTTATAATACCCTTAATATATGTAAATCAGGATGCACCATCTCTTTCATTTTACCATTTTTATTACAACAGACAATATGTGTATGAATGTTTATTTAAATAAATTACTTATAAAACATTTTGTGGTTTATACCTACATCATTCTTGGTATAAAATAAACAGAGTTGTTAACTATTAATTTTACTCACGTCTCACGAACGATAAAATGAAACGCAAACACCAACAAAAAACAACTAATAAATAATGTATGCAAAACTCGCATAGTTTTAAATCTCATACACACGTCAAGAGAGGATGATTAATTAATGCGCTTGCATGCATTCATCCTTTTACTAAACTGAACTAAGCTGAGCAAGCACAAAGCGACACTAGCGCCACCTGCTTATAATTGATTAACTGTGACATCACGACAATACTCGTCCTAAATAAACTTCTGAAGTTACACTCCACACTGAAGTACAATCGAGGACATAAATACACAGTCAGTATTTATAATGCCTCTCTATGTTTGTGCACCTGTACTCGGACAAACATCGGCGATTTTTGAACACAAACGGACTCGTTTGAAACGCTTTTGTGTCCAACTGTACGTTGTTGTGCTAAATGGAACTGTGTATGTTATGTGTTTGAGTTTCGATTTGTTTGTGGCAAGTTGAATGCGTGGCTTAGAAATTAATGTTTAATGAATTCGGTTTTCTATGTTTCTCCTTTACCTGGTTAATACTTTTGGGTACAGGTTTAGGGGTTACTGAGCGAGGGTTCGGTTAGGGATATGTGTGTACCTATTTTATGTGTGTACTGTAGTTGTTGCTTATTTTGGTTGAAAGCATGACGTCATGATCATTCTTAAGTCAAATCGAATAGAAATCATGACATTCAAGGAGAATAAAATGAGAATTTAATATTTGTACGAATATATTAAGGTTCGATTAAAATTATACCCAATTTTTT